CTGCACTTGTTGGAGGAGCGGAAGTTGGAGGTCGGTTAACACATTGAGCGTGCCACTGTCGCCTTGAAACGAAATCACTTCGCGATTCCCGACGACCCAGTCGTACAGATACGTCCATGCAAAAAAGCCAAAGCCGACTTCGCTTGGGTCAAGAATATTGGTGTGCAGCAGCCCGAGCGGCGCCGACGCGTTGACTTTGGCAAAAATCATCAACTCAATGTTGAGATTATGGACAAGGGCGTTGGTCGACGCCGCGACAGAGCCAAATGATGCGTTGGTGTTGGGCATGTACGTCTGAAGAAAGTACATGGTTTGGTTGAGGTAGACAAGGCAGAGGGCAAGATACGCCGGGTCAAACGAGCAAATAGTGCCGTAGTCACTGGGCGGTGATGCAGTGAGACCCGAGAGAATTGCCGACACAATATAGTGTTGTCGCGTCGGAATCACTTTGCTTTGGATCGGTGACGTTGGTAGACAAGGGAGGTCGTATGAGAGAACGCTCGTCAAGCCCGCCGAGACGACCTTGCCCGACACAAATTCTTGGCAGAGCGGCGAGCCACCATACGAGGCGTAGTTGGGCGTGAGCCACTTTTTCGGAATCGGGTACGACGTGCCTAACGGTGAGATCTGGTTGTAGGCAGCTTGGGCGAGAATCGACTTTCCCATGGAGAGGCGGGCCATTTGAAGAATATCGCGAACGAGGCTGCTGACGGCGGCTGGAACACTCACATACACCATATCAGTGACGCCGAACGGACCTACGGTGGTAGCCACCAGTGCCAACGCACTGGCCAGCGGCGACATCAACGTCGCGTTTCTCGCGAGAACGGCTTGCAGCGACGTGTTGGCAAAGGCGAACCGAGGACTCGTTCGCAAAAGACTGAGACCACTGATACCACTGGTGTTGGATGCAATCGCGGTGAGATCGTTGGCGAGCGACCAGTACATCTTGTACGTTGTCTGACTGCTCCAGCGGTAGCTGCCGTTGAGGGACATGAGCTGCATAGGATACGAGACACCAAACGCGTTGACGATCGAGTAACTGTTGATGGCGCCGATGCGCTTGTAGTTTTGCCACTGCACTTGAAAGTTTGATAGATTTTGCTGGCGCCACAGCGCGATTTCATCTTGCAGCGGCAGTCGCTCCGTAGCCATTGAATGCAGCCAGGCTTGACCGTCGGACGACTGGCGCAGATCAGCACCAAACGCCGTCTCAAACGCACTGCCCCAACAATACGCAAAGGTTGCATAGTCAATGTTGCGCAGCACCGACTCGAGGTACACGGCAGCATTTTCCTCCATCTTCTGACACCGCAGTTGGCGCTGGTTGGAGTAGGCCATTGACCATCGCTTCTTCCAGTCGAGGTAGCAGTACGGCGTAAAGATCCAGGGCGCGTTGCACGCATCCGAGACGCGAAGACCCGCAATCGAGGCTTCGATCGCACTGAGTTCGTTGTGCTGAAGCCAGGCACCATAGTTGTTGACGGTCGAGACGAACGCTGTCGGTGTTGCATAGGAGCCGAGGAGGTTGATGCTCGGATCGTTGAGGACAATGTTCTGCGCTGTGGCGCGCAAAATGAGCTGCTCGTTGAGCCAATTCGCAAAAAACGTGTGGGCGCCCGTGACGTTGAACGTTGCCCAGTACAAGTCGTTGTCCAAGTTGACTTTGCACACTTCGAAGTACAAGACCGAGCCGGTGATCGAAGCGCTCATGTAGAGCAAGCCAAACGCGGCCAATAGCGTCCGAAGCCGGCGGCGGCCCGAGGCCACGCGAATAAGGTCCATCGACGGCACGGAGAAAGCGGTGCTCGTGATGTGCGACTGCGTCGCGACGAGGGACGCCTCAGGGGCGGCCCGCGCCACGTGGGTTGAGATCGTATCCGGAAGCAAGCTCCACAGCTTGAGGTCAAAGATATACCGATGGCCATTGTACGAGAGAGGGAGGAGCCCGCAGAGAACGCACGTCACAGGGTCATAGACACGACCGGCGTCGCAGCGCGGGTCGGCGGTGATAAAGGCCTCGGCCAGCCCCGACACGAGCAAGCTCTCTTGTTCTTCCTCCTCTTCGTCATCGTCGTCCTTCTCAGCGCCGCACAGGCGGCGGACGCCGCAGCCAAGCCCAATGGAAGCGACAACGATACCGACTTGGAGACTGCAAAGAAGCACGAGGCGGTTGAGACTGCCAATCGAGATGGCGCCGGCGGTGCAAAGAAGGCCATAGTCCATATCGTTACCGACGCACGTTCGACTCAGGTTCATGGCAATGCCGACGGGCGACACCAAACTCACCACAAGAATCGTGAGCCACGCCAGCGCATTTGTCCACGGACCGTACAGCCGCGTAAACGGTTTTGGCAGCGCAATCACGAGATACTCGTGCAGACTGTACGAAAGCCATGTGGCCTCGCCCGCCAGCAATCCCGTCGCCCAGAAGGAGCGCGCTTCGTCGACTAGACGGCTGTAGCCGAATTGGGTCACCAGCTTTGGCTGCGCCGTGCTTAAGATCAAGATGGCGCTGATCCCGCGCATCAACATGAGCTGGCG